GGGGGGGGGTCCTAGGTTTACTAAAAATATGGAGCACCCCATACAACGTCCGAAAATGAGAGGCTAAACGTGACGTTATCGCATGGTCATCATATCCATATCTACCCTTCCCACCCCGTTAAGGTATTTAAAGTGCGGGTTGGTCTCGTTTACTTATTGCATTCTATTACCCGTCTCAATCCTATCAGTCCCAGAGGCATTTAGGACTACTAATACTAAAAGGGAGGGATATTGGGCTTATTTGTAGTTTCAAAGGTAAAAACTCTAAGGCGACATACAAAACACGTATTGCAAGTTGGGGAAAGCACATAACAAGCAGAGGCTCAGATATACCTCCTTGAACAAAGAAGCACATAATTAACATGACTTACACATACTGTTTTAGGTCTGAAAAAAATATTAAAGACGAGGGAGAGGAAATTGTTGAGACAGTTTCAGCTTATCACATAACTTAGATAAGAAGTCCGAATCAGGCATGCCTGCTGGTTGTAATCATTAACAGAAATAGATTCGGCTTATAATTATCAGCCTAAGGCTTGCCTAAGTGTTGGACAAGGATCCTATAGGCATGGTATCTACTGGATTCAGAAAATAATGAAACAACAAGGCTCGAAGTAAGCTGTTTTGAATGCATACTCGTGAAACTTTCTAAGTGATAGAATCAGATTGTTAAAAGAGAGGCAGGATTTGACGAATTGATTAGAAGTCCTGCGGTTGATAGTAGCCATTATTACTGGGTGAATCAGATTTTTTATTAGAAACCCCTATAGGCATGCTTTCTATACATTGCTAATTTTTCAATCCTTATAGACATGGTATCTAGATGCAGAATTTGTTTTTAAACCTATGAGCATGGCATCTAGATGTAATGGAATATACAGAATTGGACAATACTATAAGCATAATTTCTATATGAAGTTAAATATGCAGAACCCTGTAGACATGATTTCTAAGTGAAGTTTGAACATGTAGAATTCAAAACATGCTATAGGCATGATTTCTATATGCATTTGAGTATGCAGAATTCAAAATACCTATAGACATGATATCTATGTGAGATTGGGATATGCAGAATTCAAAATACCTATAGACATGATATCTATGTGAGATTGGGATATGCAGAATTCAAAATGACCTATAGGCATGATTTCTATATGCATTTGAGTATGCAGAATTCAAAATACCTATAGACATGGTATCTACCCTTTGCATACATAGTTACCCACCCTTTTCACTATCCATCCCCAAGAATTTATTACAAATTATTATAGCCCGGAATAAATAAAATTACATCAGAAACTATAAAGAAAAATGCAACCAGAGGAAGCCTAATTCTTGACTTC